GAATTCTGTGGTACTTCTGTCTAACCATAGTTCATTCCTGCCTTGTGCTTCTCCACTACGTTGTGCTATGAGACTTTAACAACTTCAAAAAGAGTGGAGGAGCCCCATAGAAAATCCTGGCAATGGCTGCAAACTTGCAGAAGCCAGGCAAGTGCCAGAAAGACAGTATGGGGATAACTCCTACCAGTTTGTGAATATTCAGTCTCCCTCTTAGTGCCCAAACTATGCCACAACCATTACCACAGAACATGGTAGTTCACATGGTGTTTTCCAACACTGTCCCAACCACTGGAATTTCATTTAGTTCTAATTTGAATAAGACTACATTCAGTGCATAGATTCTAATTTGGACTAGACTAAATTGTCTCTTCCCAATCTTTTCAGCCTTCCATCCCACCAACCCCCAACATGTACTCAGAGCTCAAACTTAACCTGATAGCTTATAGTATCCTATTTCTATTGCTGTGTAACAAATTACCACAAATTTGGTGGCTTGAGAAACATCCCTTTACTATCTTACTGTCTATTGGTCTAGAGTCCAGGTATGTGTTAGCTGGATCCTCTGCTCAGGGTCTTGCAAGACTACACTCTAGGTATGCCCTGAGCTACTTTCCTTTCTGGAGTTCAGGGGTGTTTTCCAAGCTTATCTGCTTGTTGGTATTAGGTCGGTGCAAAAGTAATTATGGTTTTTGCCATACTTTTCATGACAGAAACCACAATTACTCTTGCACCAATCTAATGGCATGTAGTTCCTTGGAGTTGTAAGATTGAGGTTGTTATTTTTTGTCGTCTTCAGCTGGGGAATGCTCTCGATTCCTAGAGGGTCCCATACTTCCTTGCCAAGTGGAATTCTCACAAATGGCAACTCATTTCTTCAAAGGTGGCAGGAAATCTCTCTCCACTGTGCTGAGATGGAGTCTTATATAAAGAAACACAAACATAGGAGTGAATATTTCTATGCCTTTGCCATACAACATAACATAATTATGGGAATGACATCCACCACCTCTGACAAAGCAAGCCTAGAGTTCCATCTGCAGTCAAGAGGAGGGGCTTATACAAGGATGGGATTCACTGGAGATCAAATTGGAATTCTGCTTACCATAATTATTATACCCAGAACATTTTTCTTACCCCTTTAGATACGAGTTTCCTCTGTCTAGAAGGGAACTACAAGACATAGGGCTTGCCTGTGTCTAAAACCATCAACTTTACAGATGACTTGAAGTCTACCCATCCTCCTGTTGAGGTTTCCATTATATGTATAATCCTCTTAGGGCACTTGCTCACTCTGGAATGTGATACAGTTTGCAGGGTCTTTTCCCCCAATATACAGAAATCTTCTTCCAAGCAGGGAACTAGATTATATTCAACTTCACATTTCCTCTCACTCCTCACTCTCTACTATGCAGCATAGTGCTTTCTACATAGGCAGTAGCTGGCAAACACTAGTGAAATTCAATAAATCAAAGCATAGAAATTACAGAATATGCAAGCTGAAACAGAGCTTCAGGGTCACCTACACTGAACTCCTTCCCTTATTTCTCTTGGCTGGAGGCTATTGGCATCTTTTTGTGTTTGTATGTTCCATCTGCTATCAAACATTTTTATGACATTTATTTCCTCATTATAGTCCTTATTGTCCTTTATTTATATATCTGTGAGGCACAGGAGAATTTCCAATTCTCCTTTCCCCTGCAATATTTTCTTCCCAAAGCCCCAGTTCGCTCAGACTCCCAATGCCCATGACAGGCCCCCAGGGCTCCCGTGACAACACTACTCCCCACTTCCCTACATGTCTCTCTGTCTCCTCTGTCCCTCCATCATCAATTTCAAACTTCCTGCCCTGACATTCAAGGCCTCCTTACACTTTGAGTCTGTCTGTATCACCTCCCTTATTTTCTCTGGGTCTCATTCCCTAGCTCCCACTCCCAAGTCTGGGCATTTCTCCAAGTTCCTCCATATTCCTGGAACCATCACCCCACTCGCTCCCTCCCCCACCTCTCCTATCATCTGTCAAGCCTTCCCCCATTTCTTTTATCTTCCCTAACCCTACAAAAATTTGAAAGAACTCTCTTTTGACACACTAAGTACATGTAGATTTGATATTCTATGAGCAAATATTGGCTCATGACTGTTCGAGCATTGAAACATATACATAGGACAGATGTGAGAATACCTTGGTCTTTGCCACAGTGAAAATCATAAGCAGCTTTTAATGTCAGACATGGTAAAGTAGGAAGGAAGCCTACCATCAAACAGGATTAAGCTGTCTTGATTTGCCCCCATGGCCAACTTAACTCAAAAAGGATACAAGTTATTTGGGGCTTGATCTAACACCCTAATAGGTCTTTCATTATTTCAGGTAAAGGGAAAGCTAGGCATTGGACAGATTTTTAAGGTGAGCTCTCATAGTTACTAACTGTTGTGATTTTCAATAAATTATATAAACTCTCTAACATTGCTTCCTTACTTCCAAATAGAAATTATCTTAATAATAACACCTGATAATGAAACAAATTAACATGTACAAAAACTTCCATAACAAATTGTAAAATGCATGTAACTGATACTCGTAACCTTTCATAGCAGCATTTTTGAATCTGCAGAATCTGCAGCTTGTGTCAGATTCTCAGTGATCGACTGTGAGAAAGCCTCCAGGTTCCCTCAGGACCTCAATTTCCTCATCTTTAATATTGGGGTAATAAACTCCTGCCTTGCTTATCTCAACAAGCTGTTTTGAAGATACCCTAAGAGAAGAGAAACGGACATTTTAACTCAGAAAGGTGTGAGTTTGAATCAAATTTTCAGAATTTATCCATCAACCCAGCAACCTACTGTGTCACTGGTGAGTTTAGGGCATAATTTTCTGATTTAGGGAGTTCAGGTACTGGTAACTGGTTATGGAAAACTCTATGACAGATTCTTCTCCATTCTCTTCAATTAAAGCAATACTGCAATTCTAAATTAGAATACTTTAATAGATTAATTGGGAGTTTTGGCTGCCCTCAGTGCTTGGAAGATGTGGTTTGAAAGACCTTTAACTCAATGAACCCCAAATCCCACTTTGCTGAATGCAGAGGCAGGAGGGCAGAGGAACCAAAGAAGCACAACAGTAGGGAATATTAGTTTTGTGTAACAAATTACCATAAACTTACAAGCTTAAATAACAAATTTGTTATCTCAGTTTCTGTAGGTCAATGTCCTAGTACGTTGTAACTGGGTGCTCTGCTTAGGATCTCATGGGAGAAAGTGGGTCTTGCTGACCAGGCAGGGATCTCATCCCCCTGGATGAGGAAGGAATCCCCCCCTGGGGCTCTGAGGAAGGAATTGCCCACAAACTCACCCAGGTTGTTGCCAAATTTAGTTCCTTTAGATTGCTGGTTGTTGGAATAAGGTCCCCATTTCCCTGCTGGCTGCAGTCAGGGGTTCTTTCTGCTCCCATAGGCTGCGCATATTCCTCTTCATGCTTTCTATAGGGCCCTCTATCTTTGTAGCAGCCAAGGTTTATTCAGGACTCACACTTCAAATCCCTCCGACTTCTCGTTCGGCCTCCAGCTGGAAAAAGCTCTCTGCTGTTAAGGACTTACATAATTATAACAGGCCCGCTTGGATAACACATTATTTATGAAAGCAAATGTATTGTGATGGTTTCCACTATGTTTCCACTGAACTGGGAAACAGGTTTCCCAGATTAAACATTATTTCTGTGTGTGTCTTTGAGAGCATTTCCAGATGATATCAACATTTAAATTGGTGGACTAGGTAAAGTGACCCTGCCCAATGTGTGTAAGCTTCATCCAATCCACTGAGGGCCTGAATAGAACAAAAAGGTGGAGGAAGGGAGAATTTATTCTCTCTCTGCCTGACAGCTTGTGCTGAGACATCGCTCTTCTGCCCTTGACTAGAAATTCTGTCATTGACCCTCCAGTTCTCAGAACAACAGCACCAATTCCCAGTGTTTCCAGCTTGCAGGCAGCAGATCATGGGACTTCTCAGGCTCTGCAATTACTTGAGCAGCAAATTCTTTATAATAAACAGATATCAACTTCTTTTGAAAAGTCAAAAGATCTGGCAACACGGTGCCCATTTCTCCTCATGGCAATAACAGGCTGGTGCCTCCTTGAAGCAGTTTGTGCATTCTCCAATTGTTGTAGTTCAATTACTCACTTTTGTGTTGCACCTGGTCTATTCACTCTCTCATGTCACTTGCCTGCTCCATGAAGGCTTTTGGGCTGGCACCCCTTGCTCTTGTTTAACCAACTCATTTTACCGATAAGAAAGCTGAGTAACAGAGAGCTTAAATAGTATGTTCAGACAGCAAGGACAAGTCTCCTAACCCATGCCATGTCACCAAATTGCATAAATTTTGCTGTAAGCAATATCTCTTTTTTAAAAAAATAATTTCAACTTGTATTACAGATTAAAGGGTTCATGTGCAGGCTTTTTGTAACCTTTTCCTATTTTTAAAAGTTTGTATAAGCCAAACAGTATTTAGTCTGTGAGTGGTCAGTTTGAAATCCTTAAATAAGCATGTCTTTAAGCCATCTCCAACTGAAAAAAGAAAAAGGTTTCTGTTTTTCATTTAGAGATATAAACCTAGCTATGAATACTGTAATATGGAACATATTTATTGCATACATTGGGAAAACATCTCTTTTAAGGTGTGGTTGTCCTAGGTACACATAATATTTTTTGTCTTTCCTTAGGTGGTTTGTTTATCCAACACTCCATCTAATCTCCTTTTTTGCTTCAAGGAACTCAATAAAGACTCTCTCTGTCTCTCTCTTTCTCTCTTCCTATCTGTGTAAGAATATGTGTGTGTATATATACATATATATCTACCATAGGTTCCTTTTGCTGGAACCCCCTGACTAATACATGTACCATATAGCATAACACAAAATAACAAGAGTTGATATTTCATCATATTTACAAATTTAGGGGATTATGTCAGGATATCTCAGGGAGGAAGAGGTCATTTTAGAAAATCTGCTTACCACACTGAAGCATACATTCTTCCAGTTCATGGAGAAGTTTCAGTATCCAAGTGATATTACATAGAAGGTGACACCTCCTGAAAATAAGAAGACTTGGAGTGAGAAGGAAGATTCCAGCAAACAAATGGGAAAATCTTCAACTGCACTAACAAATTCTCTGCAGTTGCTCATAGAATAAAACTACAGGAAAGGCACAGATAATCTAGCAAGGAGAAAAAGAAAGGAAAACATAAACAAAGTTTTGTTAGAAAAGATCCAAAAAAGCCAACCCAGAGCTTAAATATACTGACACAAACAACATGAAACAAATGAAAAAAAAAAATGGAGCCATAAAGGGAGAGAAAACATTCAAGAGAATAATCAGCGAGGAGGCCAAGAGCACAGAGACCAGAGAGAGGATGAATACAGAACAGAGAGTCCTGAATAAGAACTCCCAGATGATAGAAAACACCCAGTAAACAAATACCCAGCTCAGAGTTAAGAAGATGCTTCAAGGCTAAGAAATTCCAAAATTTATAAAGTGGGGGTAGTAGTGATAGGGTGGAACCAGGACATTGCACTGTAGATCAAGCTAGCTGATTGTAAAAAGGGAGTCATATATTAGCTATGAATAGTAGAGCAAAATGATCCCATTGAAAGGAAATACAGGTGGCCGAGCGCAGTGGCTCAGGCCTGTAATCCCAGCAATTTGGGAGGCCGAGGCGGGAGGATCACGAGGTCAGGAGATCGAGACCATCCTGGCTAACACGGTGAAACCCCATCTCTACTAAAAATACAAAAAATTAGCCGGGCATGGTGGCGGGTGCCTGTAGCCCCAGCTGCTCGGGAGGCTAAGGCAGGAGAATGGCATGAACCTGGGAGGCGGAGCTTGCAGTGAGCCGAGATCGCGCCAGCCTGGGCAAGAGAGCCAGACTTCATTTCAAAAAAAAAAAAGGAAATATAGATACAGGCAGCAAGGCTGAAAATTAGATGCCCTACAGTAGGTATTATTTGATCTTCAGAGAATCCTATGCTATTACAACTATTTGTCTTTACCTTCTACCTAATTCAAGAAAAATAAATTATAAGATATTAAAGATGAAAAGAACCCTTAGGGATCATCTAGTCTAGCCTGTTTTTACAAATTGGTAAACTATGGGCCAGAGAAGGAAATAAAATGGACTGGGTCAAACAGTGAAACTCAAGCAGTCAAGTGTTGGGAAACCTGCCTTTTAATTCCCAGCCCATGCTCTTTCTAGCACAGGGGGCAATGGACCTCCCTTTTGATGGATAAGCTAAGCATCAAAGATAAAGCTTATGCTGTTTAGTAGACAGGGACTAAAAAGTAGGTTTTGCCCAAGATTGGATCCTCTGTTTAAAAAAAAAAAAAAATCGTGGGTGTTCTTTCAGGAAATTTTTTAAAGTCTATACTTGCATATTTCAGGCTACCCCAAACTCTGTTTTAGGAAGAGTATTTATGTTTTCATGCAAAAATTTTTGGAATAAAATTTTGATATTATTTCAATTACTAAGGGCTTTTAAATTATGAAAACTTCTGTGTTGGTGGGACTGGAAGTGGAGGTTGTTTTTTTTTTTTTTTTTTTTGTTTTTTTTTTTTTTGAGATAGAGTCTTGCTCTGTCACCAGGCTGGAGTGCAGTGGCATGATCAAGGCTCACTGCAACCTCTGCCTATCAGGTTCAAGCGGTTCTCCTGCCTCAGCCCCCCTCATAGTTGAGACTACGGCATGCACCACCACGCCCAGCTAATTTTTGTATCTTTAGTAGAGATGGGGTTTCACCATGTTGGCCAGGATGGTCTCAGTCTCTTGACCTCGTGATCCGCCCACCTTGGCCTCCCAAAGTGCTGGGATTACAGGAGTGAGCCACCGCGCCCTGCCAAAGTGGGGATCTTATAAGTTTATGAAAGTGAAAATATTTTTAAATAACTTTATACGGTAAATAAAAGTTTAGCCCGCATCAAATGCTATTATGTATGAAAAGTGAATAATTTTAAGGCAATATGTGGTCTACACATGAACTCATACAGCCACTGGATGAATAACTGCATGAAAATATGTAAGAATCTCCATTGCTGGACCTCAGTTTCTATCTGTGAAAGGTAGAATTTGAAGTAGATTATTTATACTTCCCATTTTACTGCTAATGTACTATGACTTTAGGAATATGTGCCACACATACGGCTTTTTGGGTATACCCTGAAAGCTTCCAGGGAGCACCGTTCTCACTGCGGTCTGCTTGAATGGGCCCCATGAAGTTATGGAGTATGAAAGCTGAGATGTGATACTTGGTGTTATACAGAAAAAAAATACATCTCAAAACGTAACAGTATAATATATGGAAGATAGTATTAGACCATCAGCCTAATAAAGCATCATCTCACATTTAGCTACAATCCTCCAGAACTTCCCTCATGTCGGCTGAAAATAGAAGATATTATTTTGTTCTGGCTGAGAAGAGCCCTTCTGCTATTTAGATACCATCTTAATTTAGTGAGAATCCTGCTCTATAACTGTCCAGCTTGCAGTCAGGAGCATGGGAATGCACCCAACAACAGTTGGAGAAAGGAGAGTACAGTGATGAACTCAGGCGTCTAAACATAGATAGAAGACAAGCCAAAGATTGAGGAGGAGGTTGCACAAGGAACAGTCCAGTGAAAAGGCAACATATCCTGTGGGCATGCACAGAGGCATGAAAAACTGAGAATTAAAAATACACAACATTAACCCAGCTAATTAATTAATTAATAGCTTGAATTTAAGGCATATCCTTACATGGGCATGTTCTTTGGTTTTGATTCTTATAATAACAAATACTGTTTTGAGTCATAACATTAAAGACTCTTTTCAGATTCTGAGCTTGCCCAGGGCGAAGTATTATGGCAGGTATTTGAGCTCTCCATTCTAAGACAGAGAGACATTAGTAGATAGAGTTATAGATTAAAAGAGAAAAAGAGAAAGAGGGAGAAAGGGGAAGACAGACCCAAAGCAAACATTTGAAGGATCTCTTACAGATTTAACTGTTTTTTTTTTTCAGTTTCATAAATGTCAGATCTCTCTCTAGATGAGGTCTAACATGGGCTACTGGAAGAGCACATGCCATTTCCTATGCTGAAGCTAATGACCACAGCAACACCACTTTGCTCTCAACAACACTTGCACTCTGGCACCTGAACATAAAGGAGCAACAAAGTAAAACAGCCACTTAAAAGAAGGAAGGTCAGTCAGGCATGGTGGCTCACACCTGTAATCCTAGTACTTTGGGAGGCCGAGGCGGGCAGATTACCTGAAGTCAGGAGTTCAGTCTGGCTGAGACAATGAAACCCCACCTCTACTAAAAATATAAAAATTAGCCAGTTGTGGTGGCAGGTGCCTGGAATCCCGGCTACTCAGGAGGCTGATGAAGGAGAATCACTTGAGCCTGGGAGGCAGAGGTTGCAGTGAGCCGAGATAGCACCTTTGCACTCCAGCCTGGGTGACAGAGTGAGACTCTTGTCTTAAAAAAAAAAAGAGAGAGAGAGAAAGGTCTTGCTTTTGCTCTGGTTTGGGGTAAACATCCTTCTACAGCTCTTTGAGAACAAAAATTAAGTAGTACAAATTGAACTGAATTCATACATTCTTCTTTTATATTTCTCAGAATCAAGCACAGAGAAAATAAATCCTTCATTCATTATCACCTATTTTTTTTCATTCAAAAATGCATGTAATAAAAATACATGTATTATGATCTAGGTGCTGGGAATGAACACAACCTCAGAAAATAGAACCACTCTGCTCATTGAAGTATTGAAACATTGCATAAAATTTAATAATTTTTTCAGGAACCTTAACAAGTAATGACACAAGATCTTTGAAGCCATGGATTCCTGCCTTCTGCAGTGGGAGTGATATCTTTAAATGTTCTTCCCATTGCTGACTTGCAGCCACATGAGGATTAAATGAAATGAGATAACAGCTACAAGACACATTGCCAGGGCAGCTTCCTTTATCAGTATGGATGTGCCTTGGCACACCAGAAGTGCTCAATAATGTTGATCTGTTAATTCATGGACTCACGTATTTTCCATTGCTCAATTCCTTTAATTTACATTACATCTCCTTTCTTACGTGAATCTCTTTGCTCATGAAGATGCTAAACTGTGTGTTTCAGGTACACACATGAAACATCCTGAAACCTGATCCCATTTCAATGAGGCCACACTTTCCCTGCTCCAGTCACCAAGAACTAAGTCCAGAAGATGCTGCTTGAAGTTCAGGTATGGGAACCAGACAAATAGCTTTAGACTACAAGCAAAAAATCAGTCATTAAGTGCTAGTTGCTGTTTTCCCACCTATTTCCCTTGTCTGAGCCTTGCCATCCAGATCCTCCACCTCTACACCTACCTGGTTAAAAATGTCAGCATTAGGGGGCATATTTACTTAGCCATCTACTTCCTGGCTCTTGGATTCTGTTTGCTAGGTCCTGTCGTCATCCTCAGGCTGGAAGCCAATGTTTGCACTGGGTGGGAGTAAAGGGAGGCATAAACAGAATCAACCCTCTTGTGCTTTAAAAAATCAGGCTAGAATTATATACATATTTCATGTCAGAAAAATAAAATGTGTCTTGGCGGTAGATGGGAAGTTGGAGCACTTGGATGGGGAGTGGAGAGTTGGCAGATGTGTTCCCCTTTTCCTTGGCCCCCAGCCTGACAATCATTCAACCTTTTACTCTTAAAGTCAGCTCCTTCCCCCTCCTCTGAGGCCTTCCAAGTGCTACAACATCCTTGCCGTCATCCTTAGCGTGACTTGAAAAGGGAGACAGCACTTTTAGAAAATGGTGTACATTCTCTAAATTATATAAGTCTTGTGTTCATGTCACTGGAGTGAACCCCAATTTTGCTTTAATCTGAAAGCCAGGTTCAGAAAACAAGACCAATTCACACACGAATAAGGTGATCCAAATGAGAACATGTTTAAAAATCAACCACTTAACCAGAAATGGAGTTCCCATTTCCCAGGTTCATCAAGCACTAAGAAAACTTTTTAATTATTTATTAATTATTTATTTATTATTTTTTTGAGACAGGGTCTGGCTCTGTCCCTCAAGCCTGGAGTGCAGCGGTACAATCATGGCTTACTGCAGCCTCGAATTTCTGGGCTTAAGTGATCCTTCCACTTCAGCCTCCCGAGTTGCTAGGATTATAGGCATGAACCACCATGCCGAGCTGAAAAGTATAATTTGCAAAAAAATTAACTACATTTCTCTTATCTCCTTTGTTCCCTTCCAACTCAAGTGGATCTGTTTCTTAATTCCTGGTCTTTCCTGAGACCACCCAGGATTGCATTGTCTCCTGAGTTTTTATCAGCACATTCTGTGGCCTTTCCTGCCACCTCTCCTTTCA